TGGGGGGGGTGGGGGGCGGGGCGCTCCTTCCAGCTCTGCCTCCTCCAGCGCGACCCACAGCCTGCAGCTTCAATTCCTCAGTGCAGGGAATGACAGCAGCTCTGAGGAGAGCTGGTACATCCCAGCCCAGCTTCAGGCTGGCCTGTGACTGTACAAAAGCAAAGGGCTGTGCAGGGCTTATCCCTGGATCTCCATCACCCTGCGTGGGTCCGGGACGGGAGATGCCAGTGCCCGCTCTTGCTGCTGCTCAGTAGATGATTCCTTCTGGTTCCAGCAGCAAGTACTTCTTCATGGACGGGGGAATGGAGAGCAAAGGGATTCCTCGGTGGCACCTTTCTGACAATATCGCCCGAATAGCACATCTGCACAAATGCATGAGTGACCGTGGTGAATTGCTGCACACAGTGAACAAAGAGTCATAGAAATCCTGGTGCCTCTGTAAAAAAACCACAAGCATGTTTTAGGGCAGTAAGGCTGTTTTCCTTCCCTCCCTTTGCCCTGCCCACAAGCAGCCCTTGGCAGAACAAGGTGAAAAGCACAGACAGCCATCCTGTCCCTTGGAGGCACATCAAGCACCAAGGACCTGGTTTAGCCAAATGCCTGCACAAAGTTCTTATGCTTGCCTCAAATAGTTAGTGTTAAGTTAAAGACCATGCTAAAATCTTTAGGCTTGGTATGTTTTGTATCCCTCAGTTTGAGGTGGGCATTCCTCTGTGGTGTTAGTCCTGATCTGAACAGATGCTGCAGTCAGCTCAGGGTCAGTGCACGGGGACAAGTTAATCCCCTAAACCTCGCCGTGGAGCAGCGAGGCAGTGTAATGCTGCCATTACCAGTGAGATACTGGTGGTGCACTTAACTTCAGCACTGATTTGAAAATTTCAAAAAAGCCCAGAATAAATAAAAACCATTTAAACTGGAATATTGGATTGGGACTATGAGGATTTCTGAAGTAATACTATAGTTATGTCCAAGCATGTAGTTTCTCCCACAATTTTGCCTTTTGATGACATCTCTTCCTTCTTTGATCTCTAATTTTTCATTTATATTCTCCCTTGCATTTGCAGCCAATGAGTCCTGCTCACAGGAACCCAACTCATGCAACAGAACCTAAATATATATAGTCATTCACATGTAACACTGTCCTTTTAAAACATTTGCTGACTTAAAAAAAATATATATATATACACATTGGCAGATATGAAGAGACACCAATCACAGCCAGAATCTTTGCATTTGCTGAGTGCAGGGATAGCTGAGCTCCAGTAGCACCCCTGACATGGGGGTGCTCCAAAGGATAATGATGCAATGAAAATGTCTCAAATACATGTCTTATGTCAGTGAGTGATATCCTTTTGTCAAGTGAGTGATATTAAGTGGGGAACTTCCAAATCCTCTAAGATGTTTTTCTCTCGCAAAAGCCTACTCACTCTCTGGCCAGATACAGAAAATGCAAATAATGAGCTTGGATTTTAGTCAGTGGCAACTCATTAAGTGCTTACCTCAAAGACGTCGTCAGGTATGGCTGCTTTCCACTTTGATGTTGACTTGATGTGTTCGTAGCTATTGACAACAATCTCCACAGCTCTGGGGTGGGAATGACAGGCTTGTAGCACCTGCAGGCAGGATGCAGAGAGATTGTGAGGACTACCAGGAAGCAGGGCCTAGCCTGGATGCTTGGCACTGTGCAATGGCACACTGAGACAGACACAAAGAATTATGAGAGGATAAGGTTGGAGATACACAAGGCATAAGCCATGTCTACACTGCAAGTGCAGCAAGAAACCCCAGGCTAGGCCCCACTGGAGCTGTGCATACCCCAGTTTAACACCCTAAAGAAACACTGGCTCACATCTCCAGAGCAGCGTAGCTTGCTGATGGGAGTAAGCTTTATCGTCTGAATCTGGAAACAACTTGTTCATAGCTAGGTACTGCGTGTGAACACCAGGCAAAGCCATGCACAAAGTCCTTGCTGCAGGTCATGCAGAAAACATCCCATCATATGAATCAAAAATACATAATTAAAGGAAAATTTAAAGCAAGACTGGGAAATAACACAGCTCAGAAGAAAGGCTTTCAAGCCACACAAGGCCCCAGACACAACTGCTCTGCCCAGTAACTGTAGCTCAGCAGGAAAAAACAGAGAGTCAACTGTCACTCACACACATGGAATAACACTTTGCATTCACACTATGTGATGGACAATTTTGTCCTACACGGTAGACAGGCGTTCACAAACAAAAGTGCAGAACATCCCTCTGGGATAAATATCATCCTACATATTTTACAGGTGGCAAATAATGGCTTGGAAGAGACACCTGCTCCATGCAATAGGAGAAAGGCAGAGGCAGGAAAAGGAGACCCACGACCTGGTTCTCAAACAGGCTCTAGGAGACTATTGTTCTGTTACAGACAGGGCCAGCTCATCCTGGGCTCAAGAGTGCACAACCAAAAGTTTGGCATTTCAATCAAAGGCTTCTGCTTGCTTGGCTTGTTAAAACTTTTTATATACAGTGTAGGAACTGCAAAATATTGCTCAGGACACTGGATGAGAGAGTACGTCCTGACTACAGCAAGCTCACTTAGTTGCCTTTTATCAGGCAAGAGGTCTGTCAGCTACTTCTGTCAGTGCCTTGGCCTTTGCAGACCTTCAGAAATTCTTTGTGAGGGATCTTGCCATTATTTTTTTTCATCAACTATGAGCCCAGGCCCAGCATTTCCCCTTAATTTCTCACATTTTCTGGGAATAAGACAAAGATTTACTGAGGTCCATTTCATTTGGAATAGATTTGAAATAGATTTTTGAAGGTCAGAAGTGACAAACCGAATCAACTGTTCTGATCTCCAATCTTTGGTAAAGGCCATGCAATATGCATTTCTTATAACCCAGTTAAGCCTGTGTGGAGCCAGGTCTGACAAAGGCATGTAGGTTTTCTGAAATGAAAAAGTGAATCAGCTCTGAAAAATTAGGCTTGAACCAGCATTTAGAATTTGGGATTTCAGGTTGGTTAAGAACAAAAATGGAGTCTGGGTGTGGCTTCTGGCATTAGCAACTGTGATTTCACTTCAGTTAAATGATGCCACTCTTACAGCAATGTTGGCTCGTAAGGCTTTGGGCATTCTAGGCCCAGAGTTTACAAGACTCCAGCAAATCCAAATACCACCAAACCCTGAAGTTTGGATCTCTCATCCTGTTCCTGTTCAAGACATCACCTCTCTCCATATCCCTACTGTAGAAAGCCATCCTTAACCTTGTGGAACTGCAGCGGATATATCCTAGCTGCTCCATGATTCAGTAGCAGCTGGTAGCAGATGTCAGGCTGGGCAGCTGGCCGCACAGATGTCACTTTTATGATATACTGCAGTGGTGCACAGCCATTAACATCCATGATGTTTGCTTCTGCTCCTGCCTCCAGCAGCATATGCAGCAGGACGTGGTCACAGTTCCAGGCAGCTTTGTGGAGTGGTGATTTGAAATCTTCATCACGAGCATTCACTTCAGCTTTATAGTCTAAGAGCATCCGACAGATGAGGTGGTGATCTGGGCTGTATATCTGATCCTTATAGTGCAGGGCCCAGTAGGCTGCACAGGCCAGGGGAGTCTCCATGTAGGCATTGAGAGCATCAACCTGTGCTCCTTGTTCCACATAAAAGGCCACAAGCTCAGGGATACCCAAACGTGAAACAGTGTGTAGAGGAGTCTCCTCATCTTGGTTGTTTGTTTTTATGTTGACATTTGCCCCTGTCAGAGAAAGATGATGGGAAAAAATGAAGGTAACAAAATCTTGGTTTGGAAAGCATTCTGCTTGAGCCCTGCTACCCAAGGAGAAGATGAGGGCGGTCAACTGGAATGAAAGACACACATGGAAATGCAAATAGCTAGGGACATGGATCCTGCATATCTTAAGCCTTCAGGAAACCCTGAGAAACTTCAGGTTCTTGGATCCAGCTTCAGATGTGATAGCTTGGCCCCAAGCTAGCAGAAGACCTTATCTGAACACTGTATTTTGGAGCAGCATGCAGGTCCAAATCTTTGTATAAAATGCTTTTTTCTATACATTGAGAACTAAAGGAGAAAGGAGACCTTTACTCCTACCCCAGGGAATAGCTCTGCTCACATCTCTACCCCGAGAACGCTTCCTGCAGCACCTCATTAACTGCGAGCCTGGAAGAAAGGACTTTTTATGACAGAGCCATAGATGATATAAAAAACCACTGCCAAAGTCCCCAGCTGAGGGTCTGGATCCTGTTTCCAAGCTGTTCGGGCACTGGAGCGGCTGCTCGCTCTGTACCGAGCGGCTCTCGCAGCTGAGGCAACA